CTTGGTGCCCGGACTACAAGATGGGTACCTACGAGCCCTTGGAGGTCTCCAATAAGCGCCATGCCGACCTTACCGTTTGTGCCCCAGGCACTGGCTACTTCCAGTCCTGCTCCAACGGTTTCCGCGGCTGCTGCAAGGCCGATGCCTGCTCTGGCTCGGGCCAGTGTGCGGATAGTACGAGGACCGGCACTTCCAAGTCTACCTCTACCCGGCTTTCCGGCCCCGATTAAAGTGTCTGCCCTGCCGGTACGGGATATTACGAGAGTTATAGCCTTAACCTCGAGGGTTGCTGCGTTTTACTTGCAGGGCCCAGACTACGGGTTAGACGGTTCATAGGGCATGTTTTGATGTTTTCGATCCCTTTAGGGTCTGGTCAGAGAGAGTCCCTCATTGTATTGTACTTGTCGCTAGGAGAAAGGTCAGATGGAGGGACGGATACAAGACCGGCAGCATTCAGTATCCGTTTATCATTTTACAAGGTTTGGGGATATATATATGACATTTTAATCCTTCCATTGGCATTAGCGCTCTATTCGCGCAACAGGACAGTTGGCATTCATACGAATTTGAATCGCCCTTGACCAGAAAACGACACCGGCAAACCAGTTTCTGAGTTTCAAGTGCCATCACTTCCAACACATCTCTCCCTTTATATTAGGGTTTCAGGAGGGGCGAAAGGATACCAACCTCCACGAAGCAGCACCGATACAAATAGAGACCGACTAGGCGGTGCGCATCGCTATAAGCAGCTCCGGGCGAAACAACAACAGTGGGAATGGGAGAGGTTGTCCGCATCCCACGGTTGATTCCTAGATCCCCAAAAGACGAGACTTTCAAATTGACGTTGGGCCCTAAAACGGAACAGAGCCCGTACTCAGCAGAACTTACAGCAGTCGTGCATACGTTGAGATTATCGCACGAGGTCCAGTACCGCAGGATCGATTGTCCTCGCTACCAGCAACCAAGCGGCCGTGTTACCGCTGAAGAATCCACACCAGCAATATATATAAGAATATATAGTCAGTCGCGTAGTTGGAGATACATTTGCCCCTCGGTTTCCCTTTTAGGAGAAGCATCGAGTTGCTCAAACGAGGTGTTAATCGGGGTTGCCCGAACTAGGAATCAAGCATATTTGAAATTTTCAGCCAGAAACCCAATTTGGAAGATCCCACCAGGCGCAGAAGTATATCCCACCTAGGAATTGCCTAACTCGGAAGCTAAGTGAGAAGCTTAATAGCAAGCTATCAAGACAAAAAGAGCCCGAGGTTTTGACTCTCCAAAGCAGAGTGCGACTGACGTTCGTAGAGAAGCTAAAATAGTAACAAGCTGAATAACTATAAACAACTAAGTCCGCGGAGGAAACTGTACACCTCGCCTCTCCACGGTCTTCCGACATTTCTTCACTTTATCTTAATCCGTGGTCTTCTTCTGAACCCACGATGTCTCTTTATTACCAAAGCTACATCTTTGCCGATGATCGAAGCGAAAGATATTCTACGGTACCTTGGTCATCGCCGCTGGCCTCGCCGTCAACGGAGAGCCGAGGTGCAACAGGGACGTGCCATCACCTTTAACGCACTAATGGTCAGTACTTGGGTGTTGTATTGGATTTGTTGCTGCTAGGTTTTTGCCCCTTGGAATGCTGCTAGGAGGTCAACAATACGTGGCACTACAGGGAATGTTCAAAGTATAGGTATGTCAGTTATTCGGTGAGAAGGATGCAGGTTCAAGACTCAAGAGTGCCTTTGACTGCATAAGAGATGGAAGTCAAAGCCTCATAGCTGCATATAGTTTAGTTACCACTTCTGGTAACTAACAATGGCTACCTGGAAGTGGCCAATTTCCTGATGAATAAGGGCGCCGATTATCACGGGTGGTGACAGGCAATACTAGGCGATCTGGTAGTTGTTGAACTGAATTGGCTTCCTTTGCACCTGGATTCAGGTGCTGGGCACTGTTGCCCAATGCAGTAAGCGTGGAAGACTCGTCACCCACCCAAAAGCAGGGTCTGGCGAGGGTCCCGAAGCCCTCGGTTCTTTCAAGCAACACACACACATCACGCATGGTTCAGAGAGTCAATTCAAGCTTCATCTTGTGCCTCAATTGATGCAGTGTCACCTGGTTGGTCTATGCCTATTCTAGCCTGTAACTGTTGCTGTCCAACAGTAGTATTGCTAAGATCGCACAAAGAACCAGAACTCTGTGGGCTGTGCGCAGCCGTGGGAAAACCCTGCAGGGCAAGGTGGTGCTGCGCACCGACCAAGAGGGTGGCAACGCAAGACCCACTCCAGTGAGCTTGCCTTATCTAATCTACATGGAATGCAACCCTAACCCTGGCCCGGGCATTGCCCGTGACACTGGTTGAGAAGGTGTTGGACAGCAACAGTTACAGGCTCGAGACCCTCGCCAGACCCTGCTTTTGGGTGGGTGACGAGTCTTCCACGCTTACTGCATTGGACAACAGTGCCACAGCCCCTGAATCCAGGTGTTGGAAGTGGTGGCACTTGAAACTCGGGAACTGGGTTGCCGGTGTCATACCCGGGTCAGGGGTAATACACAGCTGTTACATAAGGTCTGCGAGGTACCCAGATAACTTGAGGAGACGAAGAGAACTCAATCGACAGATTCTGGGCTGGTCCTAAGCACTCGAAAAAGTTCACTGTTTTAACGGCTCCCATAAAGTGTGTCAACGTGGAATTGTGGCTGTTGGCTGTTGGGCAGCCAACAGTTACATGCTCGAGTAAGCTTAGACCAACCAAGTGGTATTGAATGAATTGAGGTATGAAATGAAGCTTGAATTGGAGTCACGATTCCAGAGTGACCACACAATGAAGGATTAAGATAGTGGGTTAGGGTGCCTTAGGATGTCCCTTTCTTTTTGGAAAATTGTCCTCTCTAATCCTCCCAGGGGAATTACCCCCTTATATAGAGACAGTGTGCCATGATATGACGTTTATGTCAGGAACTGCTTCATAATGATAAGCCCATCTTGACCGAGAGTCTCTAAGTCCGTCAACCAGCCGTCATTGTGATGGATCTGTGTTGACTGATAGTCTCGCATTGAACATCAGTGCTCAGTCCGTGAATCTTGGTGCCAAGGAACCCACTCAGTTCAACATTGGTTTTCCAACACCAGGTGCCAAGGAGCCAGTTCAGTTCAACAAAAGTCTTATGACTATCGAGCGACAGTAGCCACTCACTAACGCTTCAGTGTACTATGATTGGCCGGAGAAGTGAGTTTGAGCGGTTCGGCCCACTCCGATCTCGGTGCAGGGCCGGCGGAGCCGATGCCGCTCCGGCTCAGGGAGCCTGACTATGGAAAACAAATATATTATAGCGATCAGCTAAGGGGTACATTCTTTCTGTAGAAACCTGCTCCCTCTATGAAGCTGCCTTATCAAGACAATCATTTTCCATGGGAGTTACTTAGGCGGGCCGTGGTCACAAAAACGGGAATCGCATGACTCGCACGCAGACAAATGGATCCATTACATGCATCTACTTTAACTCGGTTGGGCCTCGGGCGAAGTAGGCCGCCACCATATTACACGTCATAAGACCATCTCGAAGTGGTGGTTTCGCCACGCAAACACTTATCTCAGGCCTGGATCAAACTTATCGACGGACTAGAGTTTGGAGATAGCCTGTGGATCTATCGATGATGAGGCTGGAAGGTTAGGTGCTGCCGAGTCGATGTCTTAAAATAGAGGAGTGGCCAGTGCTCCTTCAAACACCGCCCCCGGACCGCAAAGCTGCCGGATTCGGGATCACGGAGAGATTCATGGAGCAGCCACAGGAAGCTCGAAGCTCCCCGCAACAGACAAGAGCTCCTCCCAGAGGCCTAGCGGAGCAACGCAATAGTTTAAAAGATGCCGTGCTATCAATTCATGTTTCAAACAGTGTATATTCTTCACGTCTCAATCCTCGCATCTTTTCGTTCATACAGAATACAATCAACATATCATACCGCCCAACACATTTCAGAAAACTCTACTAGAGACTTTTGCTCCTCGTCGCTTCATCAACCTCACCGGACATCAACATGAAGTATACTAAAGTCTTCTTCTCCTTTATTATTGTCATTGCTTCGAGCGCTAGCCTTCAACCCAACGCCCACTCGGGCACTTCGGAAGTCGTTGCTCGCAATCCCCAGGACGAGATTCAAGGCAATCCCGGCACTTCAGAGGTCATTGCTCGCAATTTTTCCCAGGACGAGATCGAAAGCGAACAATACCATAGCGCAACCAGCAACCAGCACAAGGACGTAAACAATTTGGAGAAGAGGAAAAGAAGGAAAAAGAACAAGTTCGGTTCTGGAAGAGCCAATAATAACCACCAGAATACCACCACCCCATCGAAGGCCAATCCCCCAAAGAACATCAACATGAGGGTTTTGGTGGCTGGAGTCGTTGGGGCTAGCGTTGGTGCCAGTGTAATCTTTCTTTGAGCGGATCCATAGAGGCCGATTCAAAGCTCAGAGTGCAAGCACCGAAGGGGCACACTACGTTTGGTTAAGGCCGCATTTTCCATGGCCGGGATATGCGTAAGAGTGGATATTAGATTGGAATCCTTGAAAGACAGCTTCGTTGGGGTGATTAGGCCATTAGGGGGTTCAGACGGTCACGTTTTTTTTTTCTCTATTTTCTTTTATCCATGATTGGTGTTGCGCTGCTATAGTGTCGATCTATAGTAGTTCATGTATTTGGGATAGTGTTCCTTGGACATTCTCTTGAGGAGGTTAAGCCACAGTCTACTGCTCCTTTTTCAGCACAATTCAAGTCCCTTCTGGCTGTTGGGTCTGCGTCCTCTGCGTGCCCCGCCCTGTCTGCATTCCACTACCGAGGCGGATGACCAGATCGTAGGGGCCAAACAGAAAGTGCACCTTGGGGTCAGACCTGTATTGGATCGGCAATGGTCGCATGCTCGAAACGGATAGATGCCAGCGACTAAGTGGATTCTTGGTGGTTGGTGTCACGGGTAGTGACAGTGTGAGGTTCATGTGCGCAACTCCTGGTTCGACTGTACAGTTCGAACCCCCGTCCCTTTTTTGAGGGTGTTACGCAGTGGTCAGTTGCGCCCACCCGTGACAGTTGGGGTCGGGACTGGGCGGGTGTCCGGAGTACTCCGGGTGCGATTGCTGACACTGCTCCTAGAACCAACTTTGATGACTTAAGGGAGCAGCATTGTCAACCTCCGGAGCATTCCGGTCGAGGTACTCATCACCTGGATTACCGCCGTGGACATATATAAGAGTTGCGACTTGTTGTTCATCAAGGATGGCGACCTCGACAGCGTTCCACCTGTACCAGTAATCTCAATCATCAGACAAGTCGAGGACATGGACGGTCTAATCACGATTCGGCATGCAAAGACGACAGAGCGCTTGTCGTAGGAATGGGCTCATACGACCGGATAATCTCGAGTGAGGCCGTGATACTCAGCCAGAGGTACTTCCTAGACAGTCATGTTGCTTAGGCGAGAGTTCACTCTAGGGCTAGCGTAGGGAAGCGAGGTCTCTGGGGGAAAGATCGGTAAGATCAGTGTATGAGGTAACACAACAATACGCGTACGCGCAGGGACGAGGAACCCTAACCCTTCCGCTTGTGATCTCGATCGGTTGGCGGGACAACTGCCCTAAGTCTAGTCACTGGTTCTGGAGGACCCTCTATGAGTTCTCCAGTAAGCAACTCAAGTGTAGATTTGTGAGTACCCTTGGCCATTCCTTGTTGTGAACCTTTTGGCTTCGCCGAACCTCACCCCGTTGTCAAGTTATAACCTTCAGGAGTCCCTTTCAGAAGTTGGGGCTTGAGGTTCGTCATATCATGACTTTGCGAATGCCAGCCGTGGCAACAGACAGTAGGGTAATTATATCTGGTTCGGGGCCGGTGAGCGGTTTGTCGGCCATCGCAGGTAAGCAACTGGCATGCAATTTAGTTTGCAGAATTACAATTTAATGACAAGCAATACGTTATTACCTTAATAATAGGGGCGTCAAGCAATGGCAAGGCGGTTATTAAAGAGTATCTCTAATCGTACGGGGTCGCCAACCTGATTGTGCGGGGTCCGCACAGACCACCTGCACGAGGCCACTGCAGGTGCAGGGCTCATGAGACCCGTTACAAGCAGGTGCGAAGGTTCACCCCTCTCCACCACCACTACCTCGGCGGTTACCACGCAACTGAGCGCAATCTGAAGCTATTCAGAAGCCTTTAAACGCACTAGAGGAATACCGTTGCATTATCACTAGTACACAATACTACCATCCCCAATCCAAACCACCCAACCCCCACCCCCCGCAACCAACCCGCCAAGATGGCTGACGACGGCGGCGGCAGGGCTCGCGGGCTCGGGGGAACTACAGGAAGACGGGGAAGAGGTCGGGGACGAGGAAGAGGTCGGGGACGGGGACGAGGCCAGCAAAATAGAGTAGAGGAGACCCAAGGAGGTACAGGTCCTGCGTCTGGCGCAGCCATACAGCTCGGGACGCCAGCGTCGGACACCCCCTTGGCTAGTTGACAGATAGGAATGGATGCCTGATTTCCCTGCGATAGATCCCCACGGCCCCAATCCCCATTATCCCCAACCCATTTCCGGAAGGCGGTGGGTGCGGACCCCGTACAATTAGAGATACTCAAACGGAAACAGGGAAAAGACAATATGATAGAATGCTCAAAAGAGAATAAGAGAGGGAAAGACACACACTACACACACGAGAGAGAGTGAGGGACAGAGAGAGAGAGAGAGAGAAAGGGAGAAAGGGAGAAAATAGAAACTGAAGGATAGAGTACAAGAAGTTTATAGTTATAGAAATATAGAACAATGACAATAGGCTAGCAGCGTAGGTGCAGTGAAGTAACTAGCGAAGAGGAAAGTTGCTAACTAAGGAGCAAATTGCTAGCTCAGGGCAAAGTAGGAGCTAATATAGGGCACAACTGGACTCCATTTGAGTACTTCTCTCGTAGATGATTCCGTTGTTGTTTGGCGATAGGGACCTGGTCAAGCACTAGGAGTAAGGCGGTATCGTCATCGTCGCTCTCATAGTGATCCATGGTTGATCACAATCGCTGAGAGACTAGAGAGAAGAGAAACTGCTGATTCATGGGGTATGGATCCGCGGCTGTGTCTAGGTCAAGGTCGTTTGCCGAATCTCAACGGCATTCACTTGTGTGTTACAGATTGAAGTAAAATGTCTTCAAAGTCATGTCCTGGCAGGAGCGCAGAGGCCTGCACACTTGCGAGTCTGGCCGAAGACTCTGGCGGAAGAAACACTTCAGGGCGAGGAGTAACCCCAGAGTCAAGAGGACACTAAGGTCGGGTAAACTCCATCCGTTGGACGAGACGCAATTGAACTGATGCAAGTAAAAGGGCAAAGCTACATAGTTAGTCCTATAATTACTAGTTCGCAACTCTGGCTTGTCTCCTCCGTCCAGGCCGCCGTTTTACCGGGTTTCGACGTCCTTTTTCTCGAGAGCTGCCAGCTCAGAATAAGATCATCAGGCTCTAGCTTCGTGTTGCTAATAGTCCTGTATTCCTCCCGCGGCTTCACATCTGCATCTCCTCTCCTTCACCGCCTGCTTCCTTGTGCTCCTCCACATCAATGGCGGCCAGCTTCTGGACGAGGGCATCTCGCTCTCGCTCGTCTGGCTGCAGCTGGTTGTACCTGTCAACCAGCAGATGAACCTTGGCGTCGAAAACGCGCTGTACACGAGCGAGGTCATTGCCTTGCATGACCAACCGGTTCTAAAGTTGGATCTGCCGCTTGGTACCCCTGTGGATCTCGTCATTCATTGACGAAAGCAAAACCAGTCGTCTCAAACCAAAAGTGCCTGGCGTGCCGTGGCCGTGCACGTCGGCTAAGACCCGGTCCCGCTGTACATTTCGATGGGCCCGTTGGTGACGCTCCATTCCAGCTGAGCTCGAGCTCGGAGTCCCATCCGAATCGGATATCCGGTTTCCTCGTCATATCGAGTCACGACACACCTATCTTCGGTCCTGCAGCCCGACCAATACGCCCTTGAGTTCGACTCAGGTGCAAGGGCGGCGGCGCGATCGAATAGGCTGGGAACGCCGCTAGGCAACGGCAGGGAAATCATGGCATTGCTCCAAGTTCCTTGCACTCTTGGTTGGGCCCATCGGTCCCCTTTCAATTGTCGAGCTCCGCTTCTTGCTCTCGAATTCGTTCGACTCTGTTCTCAGCTTGCTGTTTTGGGTTTCGAGGTCCTTTGTCCTCCCCTCAATACAGCACAAGTTCGGCCCTCTGGGCCCTGTTTGCCTCTTCAAGTGAGGTACGAATTGTGTCAAGCTTGGCTTCGTTTTCTTTCACTTCCTGCTGAAGGCTGTTCAAGTGGAGCTCCAAGACTCTTTTTCTCGTGCTCAAATCTCTTCCCCTTGTCCTCAAGCTCCCGGTACTGCACAATTTGGTGCATTGTGCTCGGGAATCTTGCTTAATTGGTCGTTGGAAGCGTCGGAGGAAGCAGTTCGATAGTGCTGGAGCTTCGCCTTCTGGGCGCTGCAACCGTTCTCGGAAGCGGGCTTGCTCTTCGGGGTTGTGACGGGGATGCTATAACTCGAGCACGGGTCCATGTCGGCGATGGTGCGCGTGGTCTGTGTCGGCGTGGCCTCAAGTAGGTACTTGACGAGATTTTCCCGCTCTTGCAGTTCGCTCCACCTCAGAGTATCCTCTATTCTCCTCGATGGCCACTCAAACCCTTTTTCACTGCGATTTAGTTCAGTCTCTCAACTACTCCGCAGAGTTTAGATCGATCCATACGCTTCCTGCGGCGCTTCTGCCTCGCTCAGAACTGGAATAGAGCGTAAGTTCTTGAAGATGTCGCGATGATGAAGCGAACGCTTTCAATTTGCGGCGGAATGCGATTCGAAGTGTGATCGGTACTAAGGTACGCAGCGAAAACTGATTTGAAGTGGTCTCGGTATTCGCAGCGGGAATGGCTTGAAGTGGGATCGCTGCAGACGTGGTACGGAAAATGATAGACGTGATCGGTTGTCACGGGGTATGCAGAAGCCAGTGGGCTCACGACCGGATGATAGGTATGGCAAATTGATTGGGGTGTTCCAATGTCGATTGGGATGAAAGGCTCTCATGGCCCGGAAAACATCGAGGTTCTTGACAGGTGAGCGCGCAGGGCAGTGTCAACAATCACCGGCCTCCTTCAAATTGGCATTCTCCAAGCGCCAGGCAAAGCAGACGTCAGTTAGAAGAGCGACGATGCCATCAAGCACGACCCAGGCTGCTATAGTTTCTATCCGCCTTGATGCTTGCTTTATGCTGTTACCAAAGCTTGGCATCCTCCAGTACACTCTCAGTGGCCTTCTCACTCAGCATAAACGTCGGCAAGACCGGGAAGGCACCGGGGACGCGGGGGAAAGCACTCGCATCCACGACTCGGAGGCCCCTGACGCCGCGAACTCGGAACTTGGAGTCCAACACAGCCATCTGATCGCTGTCAGCACCGATGGCGCACGTGCTGGTCGGGTGGTGACCAAAGATCTGATTCCTGATCCAGTCCTTGTCCGTCTGGTCGTCGCAAGTGCCGTCCGCAGCCGGCGGACCTGGGCAAGGGGGCTCAACCGGTCGGATGGGACCGAGCGGTGCAGGAACGTCGGCAAACACCCGGCGTGCCCACTTGACCGTGTCCAGCTCGGCGTTGAAGTCGAATGCCGTGCCGGCGTTGTCTTCCTCGAACAAGTGAAAGTTTATGTCTGGTGTGTCTCGGGGATCCGCGCTCCGCAGCAACACGGTGCCGGACCGGCTTTGCGGGTTGATCTTGACGGTGGAAAAGCCGAACATGGATGGAGGGTCAGGAGGTATCGAGTCGGTGGGCGGCCAGAAGCCCCTGAGCGCGAAATTCCCGCCGACGAGAAAGAAGTCGCGTTCCGATAAGGCAGGAAACGCGCTCTTGCGAAATATGGAGTTGAGCGTTGCTCCCCTCATGTAGGGTCCTCGGCCCTGCCTCCAGAGTTCGACACATGGATCGCCCGGCGCTCCGTAAGTGCAAATGGGGTCGCTGGGGTTTGGTGTCGGCTGCGTGAAGTTTCTGGCAGCATGGCCGACGACAGGGACCTCGTAAATGTCCTGCAGGTTCGTGCCAACGCCAGGCAAGTCGACCACTGTGCTGATGTTGAACTTGGCCAGCTCGTCTGCCGGTCCAATCCCGGACAGCTTCAAGAGTTGAGGCGAGTTAAACGCGCCGCCCGAGAGGATGACCTCCTTGCGTGCGAAGGCCCGTCCTGGCGACCCTTGATGAGACGCATTGCGGCGGGGGTCTGCCCCGTAAACACTCTGGCCCTGGAGGAACTCGATGCCAGTTGCCCTGGGTGTCTTCCGTGGATGATTGAGGTCTGTGAATAGTACTTTCGTGGCAAGAGTGTTAAGCTGCAATGCCAGCTGGTACTTCTTCTGTCCGTTGGGCTTGACTGCGTTGGCGGTCTCGAGGATGTAGTCGCGAGAGCTGAAGCGCCGCATTGCCAGATCCGCATGCAGAGCGCAGCCAAAGACGCCCTGTATCTGGTCGCGAGCCGGTCCGAGGAAGTTGGGATCCGCAAGCAGATTGCTGGTAATATCGGCCGGACTCTGACCCAAATGCCCGGACGCCGTTCCCAGAACGGTCAAGAGGTCGTCTTGCCCGGCCCAAACAGACTCGTTGCTCATGATGGTGTCAAGGTAGCCGTTGAACCCGTGGCCCGACGTTCCAGGGGTCAAATAATGGTTGTTTTCTACGCGCATGAAAATGTCTCGCATGTGTGACGGGCTGTGGCTCTGGTCAGAGACTGCCACAAACAGGACCTGGCTGCGACATGCTCACCTCCACGTGGTGTCTCGTGTTAAATCCACGACATTCTGCCAGTCACTCTCGCTCGGGTACATGGTCGACATGGCGTTGATAGTCGAGCTACCTCCAAGTGTTCCACCGCGCGGATAGTGGATGCCCAGCAGCGTCGAGCCAGCAGGCGGAGCGCGGCCGACATAGAAACTGCCATCGGGGCGGCGCCACGTCAAGTGGTTGTGTTGGAGATTCTGTGTCTCGTTTGCAAAGTTCCGGACGAAGAAGTCCCACCGGAGCGTCGGATCGGTATAGGCAAAACCAAAGAACGAAATAATCTCCGAGTTGACGTTCATGCTCTGGTCGTCGCCGGCCTCGACTAGCAAAACGGAATGGCCGGCTCGTGCGAGGTTGCTCGCGAGTGGTCCCCCTCCTGGCCCGCTGCCCACAACAATGTAGTCGTAATACTTGTCCTTGTTGTTGCCGGCGTGGATAGGGCTCGCCAGGAGAGCGAGTCCCGTCAGCAAGCTCAACGGGAGGGATTTCAACATGGCTCTTGACTGACCAACGAGTATCCGACAGTGCCGCAAGGGAGCACGATTGGTACCCCTCCAGGATCGACGGGACCTGGGGGGTTCACTCCATGCGTTTTCTGTCAAGGTGCGTTCCCAATCATCCCCAGCCGATACCCAAGGCCCAAGCGGCCAATGCTACCTCCCACTCCTGCCTCGCTTGCCGAGGGCCGCGATGTTGCCTTGACCAGGGTTGAGTTTGGATGGCATGGGCAATCCTGCATGTCAGACCACCCCGCTCCGACAAGCCTTCCAAACAATTTGTCCATTGGCGCACTCAGACCCTGGCTGGCGGCGGCTGCCATGCAGTTGGCTCCATGTCGCCAGATTATGCTCGGCTCTCCCCCCGGGCCGCGGAGCAACCCCCAGTGTCAACCATCGGCATAACCGCTATGCAAAAATGGTTGGGCGGCGGGAGTGCGCCATTGATGACGCCCGCATTGCTTCAATGAATGTCGAAACCGCTGGCCGGTGCCAACTCGTCGTCGTCTTCGCATCCTCGGCGTTGTTCAGGTACCTTACGCTTGAATGAGGGCTTCGAGGAGGAATAACAGAGGCCTGCGCTTGTGCTGTTTGGTTCGCCGCGGGGCTGTGCTTCTGGCTGAGGATGAGAACGGGTAATTTGTGCGAAGGGCAATTCGATCGTACGCCTTCTCTCCCGTCAAAGGCGTAGTGTTTGTTGTTCCTGCTGGCCCTTATGATGATCCCAGCTCGCTTTGTCCTTGCATGCTGCCGACGTTGAAGCCATTTGTCTCAAGAGCCCACCGTTCTTATCCGTCGTTGACCCAGCATTAACGCCAATCCGTAGGCTTTGGTGCCCTTCAGAGTTGCCGTCGAGTATGTCGATGATGCTGAGGGCTTGACAGGTTTGGGTAGTACCTAGATATAGATAATACCCAGACGAAGCCAGCGCCTCAACCCCCCCTCCCGTAGCGGGTGTTTGACGCTACTGACCATGCGGTTCTGGCTAACCATATTGTGTATGACATTCGCTTATTATATTCATCAGCGATTAGAAACAAACTATTTTATTTCGTCAGACAATCGTTTTCGTTGCATATACCTTATACATCTGGCTGGCTTGGCGCCCTCTGCCCGCGCTGCCCTTTACCTGCAACGCCCTCCATAAGTAGCGCCACCGGCCCCGCTCCGCCTCTAACCCCGCTCCGTCCCCAGTCCCGCTCCGTCCCCGGCCCCACCGCCCATTCCGCGTTTAGACCTCTTTATAAGGGCAGAGCTTGGTCCCCGTATTGAGAGCTTGGTCCCCGTATTGAGATCTAGGCTTCGTCTGTATATCTTTAGAGCAATATGCTTATTTCAAGCTGTCGTCCTAGTGAACTTGGTGCAACAGTAAGGACACTCTAGCTTGGTTCCTTTGCCTGCCTTCTGTCGCTGGTGCCGAAAAAGGTTGCTAGGTGACGAGAACGGCCGGCCATTGCATCTATACTTCCAGCACTAGAGGCGTTTACAAAACATACACACGGCGGCCGCTTGCCATAGCAAGCTGATACGGGGCTGCGGCGCTGTGCTGGTAGCTAGAGCGAAGAGATCCTGAGAAAGGGTTCTAAGGTACTCTTTAGTCTTGTCCAATGTCCGAAGAGCAGGGAGAATGTAGCATACCTGGAGACGACGTTATTGTTAGGCTTTCCCCTTCTCCCACATTGGGTCGCGGCACTGACATGATTGATGTTCGAATAGGAGCTCACCTTTCTCATGTATAGGAGGTATCCGTGTAAGGAGGTATGTACGCGCCGAAGAAACTCCGAAGTATGTCATTGGGAGCATTCTCAGAGCTGTATCCGCACCTACGGCTAAGAGATTGCTGCTAAGAGATTGCTCGCAACAAAGAGAATCAAGGAGATCACGGGGATATCCACCACACCTGCTCCCCAGAATTTATATAGAGCACTGAGCACTCAGAAGAGTGTACTTGATTCAGCGATATCTATCCAGAGTCTGATCCATCAGACGCCTTTTCTCACCCTCCTCTCCCATGTCCGGCACCAGAAGAGATGTCCACTCCGCCGTCCTCCCAAGAAGCGGGAGCAGGAGCGGCTCGCCACCATCCCCGCCCCAAACCGCCCGGGCGGCCTCGGCCGTAATCCGGTCGAGGCCTCGCCAGATCCTCCAAGTACTTCTCCCGCCCCCGGCGCAACTCCCGGCTCGTAGCCTCCTCAATCTCGGCTGCCGTCCGCCCCTGGGCATCGCGCGCGGTCGCGTCCGCCCCGGCGCCCAAGAGCAGCTCCTTGATGCGCGCGGCCCGCCTGCTCCACGCGGAGTACTCGAACGGCGCGTACGTGCCGAGCGAGACCCAGTAGGCCATCCGGGCGGCGAGATGCAGCGGCGTTGAAGCCTCCCCGTCGGGCAGGTTGGGATCGGTGCCGAGGCAGAGGAAGAGCTCGACGGCTGCGTCGGACGCCGCGCGCGCGGCCACGTGGAGCGCCGCAGAGCCGGCGTTGTCGACGTGGTTTATCACGTCGGCACCACCACCACCCTTGATCTGTCAGGCCAAGACAGCGCCGAGGTGTTCGTTCTCGAGCTCGTCGTCGACCGGGTCACGGATGCGAGGGTCACGGTCGTGCAGAGGATCCGCGAGATGGTGGAGCGCGGTGCGTCCATCGTTGTCGGCCAGGCAGAGATCGGCGCCCTTCTGGGCGAGGAGCGCGACGGCGCCGATCTGCTTTATAGAGGCGGCGTAATGGAGCGGGGTCCGGCCGAAGGCGTCTTGCCGGCCAATGCTTGCGTTATTGTGGGCTACCAGTTGCGAGAATGTTCGATTCAAGCGCAGCCAGCCTTGCTGAGTGCGCCGAGCTCCGAGACTCGGCCCGGAGTGCGCTCCAGTCCTGGGAGATGCGTCTGGACTTGCGGTAGTGCTCCAGACACCGCCCGATAGCTGCCCAGTGCAAGGGCTGTCGCCCATGTTCATCCGTGGCGTCCGGGTCGGCGCCAAGGTCCAGGAGAGCTTGGATGGCAGCTGCGTTCCAACTGTGCGCCGCCCTATGCAGAGGTGTCGCCTGGTCGCCCCCCACACCAAAGGGAAAATTCACATCCTCAGGGTATGACCGTCGTTGATGGATGTCGGATCCCTTGCCTGCCAGATAGCGAACAATATCGGCGCCGCCCCAAGTCGAGACGTGGCTCAGCGGCGAGTCGGGGAAGGGATCGCGTTCGCCATGAATAGAACTCCAGCTGAGGTCTCGTCGGTCCGATGCTGTCAGGTCAGCTCCAGCGTCGACGAGGAGGCGGATCGTCTCCTCCTGGTCGAGGTGGCGCGAGGGAAGTGCATCTGCGTCTTGGCAGAACAATGGGGTACCACTGGCGGCACAGAGAAGCGGGGTACGGCCCGCCCAGTCCATCTTTTCCATGTCCGACAGAGCCCCTCGGCTCAGGAGGAGTCTAGCGACTTGGTGCCGCCCATTTACGGCCGCCGAGTGGAGCGGTGTTCCGTTGACATGGCTGCCGTCGTGGCCCCTGGTGTAGTTCATGGGGACTCCCCTGTCAAGGAGAAAGGCGACAGCTCCCGCCGCACCTCTGCCCGCAGCGACCTGTAGTAGAGGGCGGCCGTGGTCGTCCAGTCGTCTGGTGTGTATGTCGGCGCCGATGCGGACAAGGAGTCTCAGGGTCTCCGGGCTGTCGTAATCTCGACAGATCTCGATAAGGAGATAAGAAGTCCACTCATCTGCCTCGGGCCTCCTTTCCAGTGCCGCCCCGCGCTCGACGAGCAGTTCGAGGATGGCGAGGCCCGAGGCCGAAAGCGCGCGGTAATCGAGACGCTTCTCTCGAAATCGCGGGACCAGGGATGCGAATACCACGGGTGTCACGCTTTGGTAGGCTCTTTGGTCGGTGTACAGCCAGGTGTAGACCCAGGCGGAGTCGTATTTTCCTAGTCGGTGATGAGCCTGGTGTCGCAGAGGTGTGTTGACGAGCTCAGGATGTGCATCGAGAAGTTGGCGGCACCGCTCGACATCCTCATTAAAGAGCGCATCGACAAGGGCGGCTCGCGGCGTGCTCCTCTCGGCAGGCTCGCTGACCAAGGTGCTATCCCCGGGGTCTGCCGGGTCTGGGTCCATAGCGCGAGCCGTCGTCGAGAGCGGCGGAGAGGCGCGAGGCGAAGGAACGCACCAGCGGGGAAGAGGCGGTGCAAAAATGACGCCGGGACGGGCTCTACTGTGGTGTTAGGGTAAGTCATAGATGGATGGATGGAATTTATTTCGCCCGGAGGCACGAAGCCTAAAGGGCCTTGGTACGCTAACTACATCCGATTCGTTGACGTTCGGTCATCAACTCGTACAAGCCCTCTACTTGTTTCCCCTGTCTTACGCCACGCACTATCCCCTCTTGACTTGGGTTTTAGCAGATCGACTTGGAGGCTGCGTTCTCCAAGTGTTTAGCGTCCTATCTTCAGCAGCTAAAGCGGGATCTGCTGGTTGAGGCTGTGTAGTGTTAGTGGAGTTCCCCTACTGCGATTGATCCAACCTCCGTCCTTCCTCGTCAAGATCCAATCTCCCTGTCGCCATTGCGTATCTGATCGTTGCCCGGACTGCTTTCATGTCTGGCGACCACATCTTTGGATCCGATGGTGCTTTCCCTCCCAGGTAGAATGAGAGGCTCCCTCGCCTTGCCACTGTGCATTGCAACATGTCCTCCCTCAGAGCTTCCCATCTCACGCATCGCAATAGAAAATGTTCCACGGTTTCCCTCGCTCGGCCGTAAGGACAAAGGTCTGACTCGACCGCTCCGATTCGGCTTAGAAAGCCGTTCAGCCTCGCCATTTCGGTTCGGAGTTGTGCCAAGATACAGGCCTCTCTTCGTTTCAACTTGTAGAGATCGCGAGTGTGCTTACCAGGTAGTGCCATGTCCAGAGCCTTTGAGAATTTGCCTATGCCTTTGGGGAGAACTCTCCTCTGTCGTCGTTTGTCTATTGCCAGCGTGATTGCGGTGGACTTGGCTTGGGGCATTTGGAGGTTGGGTATCTGTCCTTGCCTCGTTGTCCTTTGCGCTGCCGCCTTGACCTCTGAGCCCAACGCAAAGTTGGCTTCCGCTGGGGTCCATAGAAAGTCGATCAAGTTCCCTCTTTCTTGGTGCAGTCTACCAACTCGTAGATTTGCCGTATGGTGCCTTGGCCGGATTGTTGTCGCGGTTGCCTAATTGCTGCTAGCGCTGACTGGTTCCTGGTGACGATGGTGATGTGCCTATGGCAGGCGTTGGCCGGAATCTTCTCTATGGCCATTGCAATAGCTGCTAGTTCTGCTATATAGGTTCTCCTCCTCCCTTGTGCTAAGGGTTATAGCAAATCTTGTTACGGTCTTGCTAGTCCTGTTGAAGAGAGTGTCTCGTACGATGTCACCAACACCGACAATGCCTTTCTTCACGGATGAGCTGGTTGCAATCACGATGCCTATGGCTCTATTGGCCATCTCGGTCGCCTTCTTTAGGTCAGCTTCGATCGTCGGTGTCACAGGATCGTAGTAGGTCTAGGAAGATAACTGCGTTGCCCTATGAAGAGGGAAGAAAGCTATGGGTGGATAGACCTGAAGCTAAGTGCAATGTGCCACGTGACCTAGGGATCGACGGTCCAGTGCCGTGACAGTCGGCTGCAGGCGAGTTGCCTAGGGAGCGACGGTGTATTCCTGGATTATTTCCATCTATTAGGTTTTTATTCCTTTTACCTCACGGGCGATCTTCTAAAGCAGGGTGACGAATCGCGCTATTATCCAGATTTTCTTCTACGCTAAGGGATAAGTCCTAGGCAATGTCTGAATGTTGATTCATAGTTTGCTGCCGCCCGGGTATGTCGTTCTTATATAAGGAGAATGCTCGCTTAGGCTTCTGCTACAGCCGTAGCCACGGTCCGAAAGGCTCCTGTAATTGTTAGGGTACCAATCTTCTACGCTCTGTTCGGCTAGCTTAGCGCCTTTTCCCAATATACGTATATCCAAATGCCGGCCGTATAGTCTATAACGGGAGCTACTATCCCTAAAACAGTTGTCTTGATATTCGCAGGGAAAGCATCTTCAGCCTCCTTACGGCTAGAACGGCTGTGAGACCTTTGGTTGAAGTCTTGACAATATGCTGCTTCTATCGGAGTTCGCAGTCTATTGTTACCCCTAGGATCTTTGCGCTCTTCTTTAGTTTGATTATGTCCCCTCTAACTATGAACGGCGTTTCGGAGGATCGCTCCCTATTCCTTTTGAAGTGTACGATGGCCGTCTTTTCGCTCTTGAATTATTATTATTCCTACACCGCTGTGCCCTTGGGCTTGCCGGACCTTCAACAACTTACTATACAGGAAAACCGCGCCCTCGTGGGCCGGGTGAAA